GCAGGTCGAAGCGTCCACCTTTCCCGGCGCTGCGGCGCCCTGCACCGCAGCCCGTGGGCCACAGCCCCGCGGGCGCGGACCCTCCAACGGGGGGCCCGCGCAGGCAGGAGAGGGCGTCGCGGGCCTGCTCCCGCGGCGCATTCAGGTCGCGGGTGCTCCAGGAGTCTCCTAGGGGCCGCTCGAGCCCGGGGGCCAGCCCCCGCGGACGCCCCCGCGGCTGAGCCGAGGGAGGTCGCGGGGGCGGGCTGCTATGACGAGCGTGGCGCGGAGCCTACTTAAACGTAAATATATATACAAAAATTTCCAAAAACCTGTTATATTTCATAATGATAAAGGCCATCCACAGACGACCAAAACTGCGGCCGTGGCCGAGTGGTTAAGGCGATTGACTCGAAATCAATTGGGAGTTCCCGCACAGGTTCGAATCCTGTCGGCCGCGTTTTGTTGCTGATCGTGGAAGGCAGGGTTTTTGTCCTCAAGCTCCCAGCGCCGCCTTGCGCGCATGCGGTACCCGCCCCTCGCCGACTGCGGTGGCGGCGGGTTCATCTTGCATGCAGGCGGGCAGCTGATGGGGCGGTGGAGCCCACGGCGCCCGCCGCCCACGACAGCAGCGCTCAGCGTAAGCTCGAATGCCATTTGTTTTCATTAAATCTTCCGAAACTTTCTTGATTACTTTACGGAAAGCTTCACGTTTTTCTAACTTATCAACGATACCGTCAGTTACTATTGAAGCATTTGTCTCAATAACATCTGCTGTGCAGCTGGCAGCTGCAAGACAGTACGCGTTGCAAAACGCAGCAAGGACCCTCCCCCCACATTAAAACAGACGCGGCCGACAGGATTCGAACCTGTGCGGGAACTCCCAATTGATTTCTAATCAATCGCCTTAACCACTCGGCCACGGCCGCAATCTGGTGCCAAGGTTGGGCATGAGTGTAAAGATAAAGGAATCCAGGTTTTGAGAAATTTTTGTTTGGCAGCAGATGGCCCAGCATGGCGCGCGGCCCCGGCCGCGGCGGACCGCCAGCACAGGTACCTGTCAGAGGTGCTGCCCCGCATCGTGCCGCCCATCTGCTCCGGCGCCGCTTTCTTCACCAATCGGGCATTCGCGCACAGCTATCTGATGTGGCTGGAGCGCGCCCTGCCGCCGGACTGGCTGGCGGAGGCCAAGGCAGCCGCGCGCCGCGTCGCCGCCGGGCAGCTGGCGGCGACGGCGCCCGAGGCGCGCCTGCCGGATTTTGAGGGACTGGCCACAGGCGTGCTCGAGCTAGCCGGCTGGGGGAAGCGTGGCGCGAAGCAGCGCGTCGCGCTGGATGGCCTCACTGTCAAGGACGCCACGCGGCTGCAGCTCTGGCCCCTGCACCAGGAGCGGGCGCGGCGCCTGCAGGCTTTTGCGGCCGAGGCGCTGGGGGAGGCGGACCCCGCGGCGGCGGCGCCGCCGCCGCCTGGCGCGGACGGCCCGCAGGCGCCGCCCGCCCTGGCCGCGCCACCGCCGCCGGCGCTGCCGGAGCCCAGGCGGACGCGGGCGCCCGGCGAGGTGCTGGCACTGCCGGCGCCGGCGCCGCCGCCACCGCAACAGCAGCGGCAGCAGCAGCAGCAGCAGCAGCAGCAGCAGCAGCAGCAGCAGCAGCAGCAGCAGCAGCAGCA